GCCCCAAGCCTGAGGGTGGAGCACCCTGAGCTCCCTCCGTGCAAAGGGACCCGAGCTCCCCTTGAGACCCGAGCTCCTCCTAAGGGGCTCCGAGCTTGTACCCCAGCTTTTGGCTAAGTGTCCCGAGGGAAAAACACCTCGGGACAACACCCGTCGAGACTCCTGTTTGTACTTGCTTAAGGCTTGCCTCCAGTGCGAGCACCTTGGCACCTCGGTGCTGAGACAACCCAGCCCCGGGCGGTTTGGTGCAAAGTAGCTCGACTGCCTACAAGGAAGATCCGCCTGACATCCGTACCTGCCGGATCTGGTGGCTGCACCCACATTTCTTGCCAAGCAGTGTCGTGCCTGACGTCTCTGAAAAGCATGACACGCCTGACGAGTCCGTACCCTGCAACAGCAGCCTGCGGCAACAGCCTGCACCTGCCACCTTAGCCCTGGCAGTAACATCTAGGGCAATGGCGGTTACGCCTGATGTGACTGAGCTCCGCTATAAGAGGACCCCGACCCTCATGAAGTATGATACCCACCGGGATTTATCCCTTAAATTTAAAAAAAGTTAAAAAGGACAACGTTGTTGGTAGTGGAGCTCGCAGATGCGCGTTGGTATCCTTCTGCAGCAGGGTGTACCATTCACCAACAACCAAAGAAAGTCGAAAAGAGAAAGTAAGGAGGGCAAAGCGTTTGAACAATCGTCGCGTGGGAAGTGAACCAAAATGCATGCTTGACACGCACGTAAAACTTCGTCGGTTATAACCAAAACGAGAGAATCCGGGGCGTCGTTTTCCTGCACGTACCGTTCCATCTGTCCATTAAGTCATTATTATACTCAACGCTGTTGTAGTTTTTTAATGGGACGTACTAATTTAAGTTGCTTCCCGCCTTTCTTCCATCCTTACCGTTGATTCAGGATCCTTGGTTTCCAAGGCATTAAATCAATAACCTCGCCTCCGACTGTTATCGGAATTTGCTTAAGGTTTTCCGTTGAAAACAACTGGATTTAAAGAATCAGACGGCTGAGATTCTGAGGCACTTAAATCTCTCTTCGACGCAGTTTCGAAGTTCGACGACTGGTTGCTAAGCTGAAGGAAAAGCTTTCTGAATGGTAGTTTTTAGTTTTTCTGTCGCTCTCCCTGAATCGTTCTTTTCTATTTCTTCTCTTTCTTGGTTTCTTCGAGTCTCTCTTCGTTGTCCACTCTCTTCGTCTTCTATGCGAAGTTGATCCATTCCGTAAGTTGTCGCCTTCGATTCTGTTTGAATTTTGTTCTGTTTTCTCAATTCTTATTTAGTATTAATTTAGATTCTTTTGATCCTATTAATTTGGTTGAATCGATAGGGTTTATTAATGTGACATATATGGTCATGGAGTAAAAACCAACGGATTTCCTTCTAGATTTCCCGGGTTTCTTCACTTCCGGTCCATCTTTCCTCAAAATTTTGCAGTTATTTGCCATGGTCGTGGCCTGTAGTTAGGCTTCCGGCGTTTTCCTGGTCCTTAGTCATTTTCATTGCGCTGCATGGTGATTTTTTTATTGTTTTTTATTCTCTCTGCAATATTGATGTCCATGGAAAATTGGAAACCATTTTATGCTATTTTGGGTGTCTTATGTGCTTCTCCTGGAAACTGTTTATGCTTCTCCATTCTCATTTATGATTATGCACCGGTCGATCTTCTTAGGGTTTCATAATTTGTTTAGAAAATTTTATCGATAAATTCTGTTTTTGTTCTGTTGCTACAATGGTGCGGGTATATTTTCTTGCATTTCGTGAGCTCTAAACAAAAACAACAACTTTTTGGCAGGTCAATATGGGAATCAAATACAAAGCTACTGTGCCTTCTCTTTTCCTTTCGTTCCTTTTGTTTTCTCTGGTCCTTTCTTCGCCCAATGATGGGCTGTTTAGAATTGGGCTGAAGAAGATGAAACTCGACCAGAATAACCGGCTTGCTGCTCTACTTAAACCTGAGGGAGAGGAGCCTCTAAGAGCTTCTACACGGAAGTATCATCTTGGCGGGAACCATGAGGACTCTGGAGCTACTGACATAATATCACTTAAGAACTACATGGATGCCCAGTATTTTGGAGAGATTGGTATTGGAACTCCCCCTCAGAAGTTCACTGTGATATTTGACACTGGTAGTTCTAATTTGTGGGTACCATCTTCAAAGTGCTACTTTTCGGTGGGTCGCAAGTAACAGGATGTTTGATGGATTTTCTCCTTTGGAAGTTTTTCCATATTTGATTGCGTAAAAATGAACATAGTGTTTTTTCTATCATGACACAGGTCGCTTGCTATTTCCATTCCAAATACAAGTCTAGCCTGTCTAGCACCTACAAGAAAAATGGTTTGCTTTTGTTTCCTTATCCCATCATTCGCACGATGACATTTTTCTTCAGTTCAGCTTATTTGTTATTTGTCAGATTCCTTAGAGTTTAAATTTCTTGTTGATGTCTTGTTAATTTTTTTTTCTCAGATAAGGGAAACTAGAAAAAAAAAGAAAAGCTTGAATTCAATAGATTGAAAAAATATTCTGGGCCAAGCAGGCAAGCAGTTACACAGACCTAGTAGGCATTTTTTTAGGCACTAAATTTTTGGGGGGGGGGATTTTTCATGATGTGTAATGGTTTTCTGGTTTTAGGTGTGCAAACTCATGCTACATGCAATATCTTAACATGCGAAGTTACATAAATTATTCATGTGAGGAGGGTTTTGCCCCCTTGTTTATTTGTATTAATTTATTATGAAAAAAAAAAACTTTAAAAATCTTCAACAGATCTACAGCGATCTAAAAGGTTATTCTGACCTCTTCTATTACGCTCCTTCATTCTTGAGGTTCTGTTTCCTGTTTAGGAAGGGTTATTTCTATTTGCATGTGGAAGCTTGAAATCATCAATCAGGGTCCAGGAATCTGTATCTGAGAAAGATCCTTCCTGATTGGTTGCTTGAAGGGATCTCTTGGCAAAATGGCTCTTACGTATATCTGTTTCTATGTATACCCATTAACTAGCAGTCATCCATTGTTTGATTTTCATTTCTATATATTTGGTAAAAAACAAAAGCAAAGAATCTAAAAGGTTTTAACCATACAGTGGGCTGTTAGGCTGATGACCTCCATGTGTAAGTGTCTTGACAGCAAGGAGGTCTATTATGCGATCATGTTCTTATATGCATGCTGACTTCATAGTTATGAACTTAAGATCATGGCATTATGCTTAGAGGATGCTTCAACTTTTGAATGTGGTGTTATCCCATCCATCTTGCAGGGAAATCAGCAGAGATTCAATATGGCACTGGAGCTATTGCTGGTTTCTTCAGTGAAGACGATGCCAATGTTGGTGACCTCGTTGTGAAAGATCAGGTAGGTACATGTGTCCTGTCTTGTCAAATCCTGTAGTTTGTTAAGAGTCTTTGTGCACTCATACATGCCATCGTTTCCAGGAATTCATTGAGGCAACTAGAGAGCCTGGTCTTACGTTTTTGGCTGCCAAGTTTGATGGCATACTTGGGCTTGGATTTCAGGAGATTTCAGTTGGAAATGCTGTCCCTGTTTGGTATGCTGCTGTATCTTAGCTATTGAGGTGCTAATAGTTTCTTGATAAGGGGGAAGTCAAAGATAATTTACAATGTTCTAATTCTTTTTTTAACTACAGAAATTGGATTGCAGACCAATAATTTAAATTTTGTCAAGAATTTTGAAGTTTCAAGATTTTGTTCCATTTCCAAGAATCGCAGGAGCAGAATATTTAGGGAATACAAGATTCTTAAAAATATTTGATACTAAAGGGAGAAAAAAAAGAAAAGTTAGATAAATATGTGATAAAATGAGAAAAGGTGATGAGAAAAAGAAAAATAATTAATATCTATAAAATACATTATGTGCTGACTTAAATGCACTAACTCTAGGTACAACATGGTTAACCAAGGACTTATTAAAGAACCTATTTTCTCATTTTGGTTCAACCGAAATCCACAAGAAGAAGAAGGGGGTGAAATTGTGTTTGGTGGGGTTGATCCAAATCATTACAAGGGCCAGCATACATATGTCCCGGTGACTCGGAAAGGATATTGGCAGGTAGGTAGATTACTTGGTTGCTATTTGTAGTTAATAAAATATTTTACTATTATTGCTCTTCACTTCTAATCTTCTATTTATTTTTCTCTTATCATCAGTTTGATATGGGAGATGTTCTGATTGGTGGTAAAACAACTGGTAAGTAGAGAACTCTCTTCTATGTTTATCTTTCTTGTAGCCAGGGAATGCTGTCTTTTATGTTCACCACTAAAATTTATGATATAAGTGTACTGGTTTCAGGATTCTGCTCAGGTGGTTGTGCAGCTATTGCTGATTCTGGAACCTCATTGTTGGCTGGTCCATCGGTATGTATCAGTGTTTTAAGTTTTTCCATTGATTGCTAACTTTCAGGTTTTATGTATCAGTGTTATAATTTCTTATTCTCCAAATGATGCTGACATGAAAGACCAGTCTTCACCAAAATGCACAGGCATGCAGAGCTGACACATGAAAAGTTTAAACGCAAATTGAATGCATATAACTATTCTGCACCAATGTTCATAAATGGTGTAATACATATAAATATCACAAAGACCTGTAAAGGCTATGTCCTTATTCAATTGATAGAAGATCTTGGTTTTGACTTGTTTACAAGCTGTTAATCTTTCTTGAGGCTTATCCAGAAAATGCATTGTTAACAATCAGAAATTCAAAGTTATTGTTATACACAAACACACCCAAAAACTTCTTTGCTAGTCTTATATGAAATAAATGAGTAGAATGAGAAGTACATCCAATTAATATTTTCCTGATTTTCTTGTTTGCAGACTATCATTACTGAAATCAATCATGAAATTGGAGCTTCTGGGGTTGTTAGCCAGGAATGCAAGACAGTTGTTGCACAATATGGGCAAGTAATATTAGAAATGCTATTAGCAGAGGTATTCTCATAACATACCCCCACTCATCTACATACAAACAAAATGAATGATAATTTCTTCTGTTTCCCTTGCTGTATGTCATATCAAGATCTTAAGATGTTTTTGAGTATGAACCATCTCTGTTCCGTTGGCTGTCTTTACAGGCACCACCAAAGAAAATATGCTCCCAGATTGGTTTATGCACTTTTGATGGGACTCGAGGTGTTAGGTTAGGGAAGCCTTTCTCTTTGTTATTATTATCTTCATCAATTAATGATTCCATGAATATTTTCCAATCAGAACTTGGTAAATTGGTCATATGTCTTTACAGTACTGGCATCAAGAGTGTAGTAGATGAGAGCAATGACAAGTCATCTGGTGGTCTGCATGACACCATGTGCTCTGCTTGTGAAATGACAGTTGTGTGGATGCAAAATCAACTTAGGCAGAACCAAACACAAGATCGGATATTGAACTACGTCAATGAGGTGAATGGCCTTGCATTATGTTTAATTATTCTTTGATAAGATAGAGTTGGAGTTTGCCTCATGCCATCATTTGTAATTGCAGCTTTGCGATCGTTTGCCTAGTCCAATGGGACAATCTTCTGTTGATTGTGATAAGCTTTCTTCCATGCCTATTGTTTCCTTTACTATTGGTGGTAAAGTGTTTGACCTTACTCCACAAGAGGTATGCCATTAGACTGCTGGGTAGAAGTAAATATCTGCCAATTTGACTTTTGATTTCATCTGTTGGAAGTATTCATAATTTATCATAAAATTTATATGGTAGTTACCACAAAGTGAAATGATATGAAGAATATATTAAAGGTATTGCCTGTGGCATATGATAAAAATATCTGGAAGAATTAACATCATGCATATTTTTCATTTTGTGGCAACTTTATCCTGTACTGGAAGGGGTCATGGCACAAATAAGTGGAAATTAGAGATTCCTAACGTAGTAGTGACCTTGTTTGTCATTTTACCCACTTCTTCCATCTGCCCTTCCTACTAGAACCTCTACTCTATTTACTTCTGTGCTTGGATTAATTACAGAAATTTATTTCTTATAGAAGTCTCATGCAATTTATTTTTGCCTGTACTGAGTTTACATAACACATGGAACATATAGGTGACAGTCTAGTTTGGTGGAATCTTGGGATGTATTAGAAGGGTGTCGAACAAAATTTAGGTGGTCATTCTATTATAAAGATCAGACATTTAAAGAACTTGTTTCTTGACAATGAAATTTGGTATCACCATCTGCAGAAGTTCATTCAAATAAAGCATGGGGGTACTAATCATTCTTCATATGCACAAGATAAAAACTGCTGATGAACATGGAGCAGTTAGTAATCCAAAAAAAAAAAAATGGGGATGGCATAATGAAGTGATAAGGTTGTCTGACATACCAATTGGGATGACAATTCTTCTACAATTGCAAGTTGTATTCTGTTTGTTCAGACCTTGGGAAGGTAGTTGGATTTAAATTCCACCCATGATTTGATTCGCTTGAATTGAAATGATTATTCCTACATTTTGATCAATGGTAAAATGCAAAATTGGAAGACACCATCTGGCTAAATTTATGTCCAAATGCAAAATGGGTCTATATTACAGAATTTATAGGTTTATAAGATTTATACCCAGCCACAGTTTGTCACTCTACAAGATTTATGACCCATGGGTTTACAAGATTATCTTCTAGTTTACTCGTAAAAAAGAAAAAGAAGGCCATAGGACTGAGAAGCAAGATTCAAGGACCTTTTTATTTTTTGCTTTAATACAATTATACTTCACCTTTTCTCAAAAAGAAGCAAAATTYGAGGATGTTCAATTCTGGGTCGAGAGATTGATTGAGCATTTGGAAACTATGTACAAATGATTAAATTCTGAACTGGCACAGATTCATTATAGAAATGTATTCGTTGCAGTGGTATTGATTCAAGTAGAAGGCCATAGGACTGAGAAGCAAGATTCAAGGACCTTTTTATTTTTTGCTTTAATACAATTATACTTCACCTTTTCTCAAAAAGAAGCAAAATTCGAGGATGTTCAATTCTGGGTCGAGAGATTGATTGAGCATTTGGAAACTATGTACAAATGATTAAATTCTGAACTGGCACAGATTCATTATAGAAATGTATTCGTTGCAGTGGTATTGGTTCAAGTAGAATTAAATTTGTCATAGGATTCAACGCGACCCATCTATCATTTCTTTGTGGTTGTGTTTCTGAATTTTACTTTGAAATGTTTCCTTTATAGTGCAGTACATCCATGTATAGTTTTAATTTCTATAATGTACATGTTTTGCTTCTGCTTTATTGCAGTGCGCCTGCCTTAATATTTGTTGATTTATTTATATGTTGATATGGTCAGTACATCCTCAAAGTGGGCGAAGGGCCTGAAGCTCAGTGCATCAGCGGATTTACAGCTTTGGATATTCCTCCTCCTCGTGGACCTCTATGGTATTGTTTCTAGCTCTTGTAATCTTGAGTTTCTTTCTCTTTTCCCTACTTGCATATGTTCTGGTGATGGTTTTTGATGGTGCATTTAGTCATAATTTTGTGTGGGTTCTCTAGCATAGAATGCTCAAAGTGGTAGTAATGATGATTCTGAATTTTTAACCATGGAAATTATGAAATGCAGGATCTTGGGGGATGTTTTCATGGGCAGCTACCACACGGTGTTTGACTATGGCAATCTAAGAGTTGGATTTGCAGCAGCAGCATAAATGAATATTATGAACCCAACTTGCTCCCCTCTTCCATCTCTCTCTTTTTCCCTGCTGTCCACACCTCTGATCCACCTTTCAATACAAACTTAAAAAATGGGGTTTGTTGTCTATATTGGCTCTTGAATGATATGCTTAAATGTTCACTTGTCTATGCTGTCATGTCTTCCCCTTCCCTGCTCTTATGAGCCGTTTGATAACGCTGAAGTGGCTGAACTGAATGACTTATTGGTGTGTGAACTCCTTGATACTTATCACTTGTCTATGCTGTCATGTCTTTGCCTTTTCTGCTTTATGAGCCGACACCGTTGATAACGGCTGAAGTGGCTGAACTGAATGACTTATTGGTGTGTTTTTAGTGAATGCTTATAAGGTAGGTGTGAACCTCCATGACGATTGGAGATGTAATTGGACTTGTTGCCAATACCTTGAATATTTTATTCAATTATTTTAACCTCTAAAATAATAATTATTGAGTTCAGCCACTTAAGCCATTGTTAAACTCATTAAAAAACTTAATTCACTAAAAGACAAAACACAAGATCGAATATGAAATGACTATAAATTAGGTATAAGCACATACGAAACACGTTTTTAGTGGTTTATGTGAGGTGTGAACCTTGATGATATACTTTGGAAGGTTAAAAACGGTGGAAGAAATAAAATATGTATTTGTCTTTGGTAGAAAAGGGCATTTCATTAAACAAAGAAAACCAACGAACTACAACCAAGAGAAAACAGTTCCAGAACAAAACCAGCAGACCTATATCATTGGTAAGATGGTATGTATGTACTTAGAAAGCTATTTTAATTTCATCGTTCATTAGCAATTTGGCATAGCCCTTCATGGTTCACCGCCTGCTGCTCCACTAATCCAATAGTTGATTTATGGGGTGTTCAGCAATATGACTGGTTTTGTTTTTTAAAATAAAAACAATTGCCATATCAGCAAAATCTGTCACACCTTTTTATGCTTTTGGGGTTTTGGTCTATCTGGCCATCTGGGTTTGGAAATAAGGGTGTCAATTGGTCGGTTTTAGGTTAGATCCAATTTAATTCAAATCTTATTAAATCGGATTTAGACGCTCCATATTTTTATTGGATTGGGTCAATCCAAAATATATTGGTCCATATTCTTATTGGTTTTAATTAGACTTAAGCCAAATTTTCAATAATACGAACATGAGGTCAAACTCTTGTCCAATTTAGAACCGATCAAAACTGAAGTCGGCATAAAATCACTATTAGAAAGTACTTTATAATAGTAATTTTATGAAAAGTACTTTTACGAAAGTATTTTCACAAAAGCGTTTTTATGAAAGCATTTTTATAAAAGCACTTTTACGAAAGCACTTTAATATAAGCACTTTACAAAAGTACTTTTATACCTAAGCATTTTTACAAAAGAACTTTTATGGAAGTACTTTTATAAAAGCACTTTTACAAAAGCATTTTTATGAAAGAACGTTTACGAAAGTACTTTTATAAAGCACTTATACAAAAACACTTATAAAAATATTGTTATGAAAGCATTTTTACAAAAGCACTTATACAAAAGTACTTTTATAAAAGCACTTCTATGAAAATATTTTGATGAAAGCACTTTTATGAAAGTATTATAAAAGCTTTTTTATGAAAGTATTTTTACAAAAGCACTTTTATGAAAGCACTTTTACAAAAGTGTTTTTTCAAGCCAAAAGGATTATTTTTGTAATTTTCAGATTTTTTCATTTTAATGTATTTTTGTAATTTTTATATGTTATATTTTTTATATATAATTTTTGATATTTCATTTGGTTTGGATTGGATCCAATTTAGTCCATTTACATTTTAATGGATTGAATTGGATTTGATTTATTGGGTCTAGCCCATTTGTAAATGGACTCACATTGGACTGGATCGGGTTGGACTAAATCCAGTCCAATTTGCACCTCTAGTTTGGAATTGGAAAGCGTTTTATTTTTTGACAAGTTGCCAATAGGGGTGCAACTTGGGTTAGGTTAGAACAATATAATTTTGGTCCAAGTTAGGTAGAACAATATAATTTTGGTCTATTTGGGGTCGGTGCTTATGTCATTGTTTTCAAAATCAGACCGGACCAGAAAAATCGGGAATCAGTCACCTGACCAGTTCCGTTTTCCTCCAAAACCGATTTTTCCCTCAAAACCGTTGATTTTGGTCAGCAAACTATTGAACTGGCTGGTTAACTGTTCAAACCGTTTTGACCGTTTTGTAATTTTTTAAATTTTTTGTCAAAACGGGCTGCCCATTCGGGTCGAACGATCGGCCGTTCGAACCAATAACCGGACCCCTGACCGGTTTGGTCACCAGTTCGTTTTTAAAATCCATGGCTTATGTAGTCTACGATGTTTTACAACTTTAAAGGTTGACTTGGAGGCTGAAGTGCTTTTCGTCCAATTAGACGGATGGATAGTTTAACCATCTTAGTCAATAGATCAATTCGACACAATGAAAAAGTTTTAAATGAACAAAATAATAGAAATAACCCAACAACCCGTTGAACGGTTTAATGTTTCAAATCATTTGGATCAATGGGTTGTTGATAAAATCGATGGTTTTTTGTGATATGGTGGATTGGATGTTGTTCTAAATCATAATTGTGAACAAGTTACCTCGTCACTGGTATGGTAAATTCGGTCAATTAAAAACACTGGTTTATTGTAAGGTTCAAAATTTTGCAATATATATGTCGATATGTATTGTATCTTTAAGGGGTTGGTACTGGAAACACTACAAAATCATTTATTTTGTGTCTTTTCATCATGCTTACTCTGTATCATGACCGTATTAAGGTGTATTAGACCTGTATTGGGGTGTATCAGGATTGTATCATAATTGTATTGGGGTGTATCGGCCAATATAGTTCGATTTTCTATAATCAAAAAATGAATTAAATTTTTTTGAGAAAAAAAACCTTCTAATTCTCTCCAAAAGCCTTTTTTCTCTTCCAGACTTGCCAAATCATCATTGCACATTCTTGGATTGTAAAATCTTTAAAATATCCTAAAAACAACCTCTAGAACTCAAGATTTTTGAGTTTTTTTTTCAACTTTTTGCAAAAACTGCAAAAATAAATACTTTTTTCAATTTATTCAATAGTATGTTACAATATTTTACAATATTTTTTATTATATATATATATATATATATATATATATATATATATATATATATAATCTCCTTATACTGAAAACCCTATACTTTTTGTGCTTTAAATAGATCTATTTAATTTTTAAAGAAAATTTAGAAAAAATAAAATTTGATATTTTTGGTGTAATATGCCCATGAAGAATAATTGTATCATAGATCTATGGGTGATTTACCATATCCATAGATCTATTGAAAATTTTAAATTATTTTTTTTATTTTGTAAATTTTAATAAAATATTTATTTTTTAATTTTAGTATGAAAATATTTATTTTTAAACTTTTTGCAATTTTAAAGTAATTCTTTTCCAGTTTTTAATTCATATATCTATTGAAGTTTATTGTAAAATATTTATTTATTATTTTTTGTAATATTTATTTATTTTTTTTTCTAATTTTTGGTGTGATCTAACCATAATATTTACCTTGTTGTAAATCTATGGATGATCTACTACATCCATAAAATTATTTTCTATTACATTTTATTTTTTAATTTTTGTAATAAAAATAAAATAATTATTTGAATAAGAAATAAATAATTGTTTAAAAAATTATAAAAAAAATGTTTCGTTAAATAATTGTTAAGCTTATGTTTTGCAGTTATAACCTTATTAAAGAATACCATTATGTTTCTATATGTTGGTTATGACGTTCTTTTTCATAAAAATCACTAAAGGATGTGATTTCTATGTATATATAGCTCATTTAGGCTCTATATTTAATCTTATTAATGTATATTTATGATTTATTGGAGTATTTATAATATTTTCATGTGTTTCCATATATCTTAATTTTTCGTCCTTATCCATGCATATGCAAAATGTATTTTGATACATTTCTTAAATTTGTCTTTTTGATACACTTAGGCTATGTTTGGTTTGAAGGAAAAAGTAAGGAAAAGTAAAAAAACCTTTATAAATCTTGTATAAATTTCCTTACCTTTTCCTTCCTTTCCTTAACTTTTCTTTCAAACCAAACATAACCTTAATGTTTCCCTTAATTTGAGTTTAGACTAAACTTACAAAATTTGTAGCCACATGCATAATTGCAGATACACTCTTACATCTACTTATGTCAATTGTGCATACTCGGAAGAATGCGTTAAAATCTAGTTTTAGAATCATGCATTGGGAAAAGAACTGTAACATTGAACATTTCTAGGTATATGACAGAATTATCATGGCTGCTTTGGAACGCTAAATCAAATTTTCAACTCTGTTTTTTTTTTTTTTCCGCCAAAATGTTTATGATGCTGACAGGTTCAGTCAAGAGAAGATGTATTCAACTCTCGACTTTTTTTTTTTTTTTTTTCTCTTTTATGTGGGGGAATAGTCATTAGAACCAGGATGGTCATTTTATAGCAGCAAAGTGAGGACAGATTAAAACCGTTTTGTGGAAGGTTTTAATCTCTTGTTTTGAAGTTGAAGTTGCTTGTGAAGGTTTTATCAACCTTTTGACCCTAAATCAGCAACTCTGAAGCGGAAATCCAACTTTTGATGCAATCATGATTTTCAAAATCCAATCGGATCAGAAAAAACGGGAACTGGACCAATTGGTTACCTGGCCAGTTCTATTTTATTCCAAAACCGTTGATTTGATCAACAAACTGCTGATCTGGGCAAGTAAGCTGTTTGAACCATCTAGCGGTTTTTGGCTATTTATTATTTTTTTTGTCAAAACAAACCATCCATTTGATTTGAACAGTCAGATCATTCGATCCGGGAACTAGAACCCTAAACAGTTTGTTGTCCGAATCGATTTTATAAACCTTGCATGCAAGATAGTAGATGGGGTGAACAACAACACTATATATATTTAGTTTTGTTAGAAGAGAGACAACTGAGCAGCTCATCAAGTGGCGGCCCATCAAAGTCTATCTGGATCAGACGGATGGCTGGAATTTCCTTCAAGTGCTGTATGCCATTTTTCTCACACTGTATCCTCATTATGCATTAGATTCGAATTGGGTTGGGTCGCCCAGGAAGTAAGATATCAACCCAACCCAACTTTATATTGGGTAAGCATTTCCCAAACCTCATCCTAACTCTGGCCCAATCTTCCTACTCAAACAATCCAACACTTGGGTTGGGTTCAGGTTAGTCTAGCTCAAACATCCATTTAATCATAATTGCCATTAAAAACGTTTCAAGTTTAGAAAGGACAGGAATCGACCTGATAAGAAATAATGTATCCGAACCAGAACTTGCCCAATCAATTAGAGTCCATTGAGCCCAGCCCGATTCATTGGTAGCCCTGCCTAGCTGGACGGTTAAGAAAAAAAAAGAAAAACGTTTGCCTTGACTGGAGAAGGTTTAGGTGCGTTGCCAGATACAACCACCATTCCAAACTCTACAACGTAGGAAACGTGTTTCCTGCTTTCCTTGGTTTCCTTGTTTTCTTTTCTTTTTTTATGTGGCGGGTTCTAAGCGTAAACACAAAAGGCATCATCCATCATCAATTTATCATCATCTTCTCTTTATATTCTCTACTACCCTTTATTGAATCAAACTTGACAAGCGAACGAACCGTTGGCTGTGGCTCCCACCCGCCATTTCTCGTGGGAGTCAAGCTACCTTATAAATGATTGGCATGGTCTTCCTTCCAAGCAACGCATCATCTACGCTCTATGCATGTACACATCGTGAGTAGTGACTGTTTTAAAACCATTTTGACCTGCGTGGTTGAACCACTTAACAAAGAGCCGGTTATTTATTTGGTTCTAATTTTTATTTTATAAAAAAAATCGTTGAATTGATCAACAAACCATTTACCTAGACAGTTGAACTGTTGAATCATTTGACTCAGATAGTAATTTTTGAAATTATTTTTATTTTTTTAATTTTAAAAGCATCATAAGCTGATCATTCAGATTGAATAAATGCATTTGTCTAGATAAGTATTACCTAGAAAAACGTTATCCTTCATTATCCATGTTCTTCCTGCTATATGGATAAATGAGCATATTTTCTAATGGATCATTTTTTTTTTCTGCATGGGAACATTCTAGTCTCATATAGTTAGGTCAATTTCTCCCCTGCACAGATAATTAACTTATAACATTACTCACTTTCGAGAAATTGCCAAAAAACTTATCCAAAGAAAATATTGTTTCCATAAGACCCACACTCCAAGGCAATCCTTCTTCCAATAGATCAATAATAAATGAAACGGATTCAAATTAAACCAATAATAAATTATTAATTCTATGTAAGGTTCAAAATATCGTTTCGTATTAATCTATATCAGTCAATACGTATCGTATCGGGGCCTTTTTGATATACCCTTATAGGGGATGTATTGGGTCAAGCCATGATTCAAAGGGTAACCGAGACTTAAACCAACCCTTCTAAATCAGTTTAAAAAAAATAAATAAAACACAAAAGAAAATACCGATACAAACCGATACACCGGTATTTAGAACCTTGATTCAATGGAGTGACATTGGATTCATTAAAATTGAAAAGGGTATCAGTCATATTTGTTTCAAATGTGAATTGGGTTGGCCTTTGCTTTCCTTTACAACCAAATTCCACCTGTTTGGTTTGTCCCCCACTCCTGTGTGTGTGATTTTCGGAATAGAGAAGTGGGAGGGTTTGGTTGGTAAACAAAGTCTGTGGTTTACCTTTTTCTCATTACTTGCCTTTGCTTTCATTCTTCTCCCTCTTTAAGCCTTTTAACTTCCTCCCAAAACCAACTCCCACGCCTGACTACCTCTTTAATTATCACCCCCCCCCCTGGCCGCCCATATTCCGAATGTAAAATATTTTCTCAACTAATATCAATATAATTATTCAGTATTAGCTGCTACCTAAGTTCTTCAATCTTTGTATTTCATCGTTTCCCACCCTACTGACCATTCGCTTTTTCTATTGCAACTTGGAAATTGGAATCAATTTGACCCAAAACATCCTCGGAATCAATTTCATCCAGCTCTAAAAGAAAAAAAAAAAAAAAAAAAACTCAGAGTTGGAACCCTAGGTATAGGTATAAGGTATTGATTCAAATCTTCTATACCGAACCGGATTATCTGTTATTACTCTGTGGGCGACTCATAATTTTCTTAATCCAAAGACTTGAGATTTGACAGGAACTGCCCAAATCAACCGTATTTTGATGTTCCACTCCACCCCAATTTGACTATATGCCACTTTGCCTTAGTTCAAAGTTCACTGATTCATTGTTGAGGTAAGAAGAATAGGAGAGGAGAGGCATCTAAACTAAACTGAAGTCTAAAATCTAATTCCAAAGTCAAGAATATCCAAATCCATCGTATCTGAAGCTAACTTGCCAAATCATGAATCATCAGAGCTTGCAGTTGCCCAAATTTCGCCCCAGAAATCTTGGCACGTGCTCACGTGTCTTCATGTGGGTGGTATCATTCTAAGCCAAGCAACCGCCGTCCAGTCGGAGTCGGCCAAAGCTGTCAACGCTATTTCCTTTTCCACGTGGCTCACTGTGATAAAGAGAGGGAGAGAAGAAAAATGGCCGCCCTTCTCCCTTCTCTTTAGAGCAAATCACAGGAATACTTAGAAAAGAAACCAAAGAACCTCCTCTCTCCACTCTCCAACCAACCAAATTTATAAGAAACAGATCATCTTCGTCATATTAATCCCTTTCTTTTTTTTTTCAAATATAAAGAGAAAAAGAGAAAAGAGAGGTGTCGTGTGTCGTCTTACCTTTCAATTTCATCCTCCTTTGTATATATAAGAGCTACCCAGCCAACTAATCCAACCACAATCCAACTCAGACTCCTCCCTTCTTTCTCTCCCTCTCTCTCTATTCCCCCATCTCTCATGGACTGGACAAGAGGCCGCACCCTCGGTCGTGGGTCGTCGGCCACGGTCTCTCTCGCTACAGCTGTTCGGTCCGGGGAGACGGAGATCTTTGCTGTTAAGTCCGTCGAGCTCTCGCGGTCTGAGTTCTTGCAGAGGGAGCAGAGAATTCTTTCTTCTATCAGATGTTCTCGTATTGTTGGGTATAGAGGATGCGACATCACCTCCGAAAATGGTCAGCTTTTGTACAACTTATTCATGGAGTACGTACCCGGTGGCTCACTTACGGATGCAATTCAGAAGCAAGGCGGCCGGCTCGACGAATCTGCAATTCGATTGCATTTACGCCAAATTCTGGGGGGGATACATTATCTTCACACCAGTGGTTTGGTCCATTGCGACATTAAGGGTCGGAATGTTCTAATTGGAAAGGATGGTGCCAAGATTGCAGACTTGGGTTGCGCCAGATGGGTCGATCAGGTGTCTGAATCGATGTCCATTGCCGGGACGCCGGTCTTCATGGCACCTGAAGTCGCTCGTGGGGATGAACAGGGGTTCCCTGCCGACGTCTGGGCTATTGGGTGTACGGTGATTGAGATGGCCACCGGACGTCTCCCGTGGTCGGACGCTTCCGACCCGGTCTCTGCCCTTTACCGAATTGCGTTTACGGAAGATACGCCGGAATTGCCGAATTGCCTGTCCGAACAAGCAAAGGATTTCTTAAGCAAGTGTCTAAGGAGAGATCCAAAAGACCGGTGGACGATTAGTCAACTTCTTAAACATCCGTTTGTGGATGAACCCAGTTCCGGTCTCAACCAAATTCAGGACTCTGCTTCCAAATCTCCAACGAGTATATTGGATCAAGCCTTCTGGGACTCACTCGAGGAGCCGGAAACACCCCGGAGCCTTCGCTCTCTGAATTCTCCAGCTGAGAGGATCCAGCAGTTATGTGGGAACATTTCATCATCGTCATCTCCAAGGCTACCCGACTGGAGCTGGGACAATAGTTGGATCACAGTCAGAAGCAACAGCACCACCACAACTAACAACTGCTTCCAGGAGGTGGAACAAGATAATTCCTTGAGCCGGGACCAGAGTATGACCCCAGCCGATGAACCCACAACGGTTAATGGGTCATTTACAGTTAGCGACGAAGAGCTCAATTTTTATGGAAGCTCTGGCGTCAATGAGGATTCTATGAATTACTCTGTTAATGATATTAGTGGTAGGATAGGATCTGATATTGACTGTAAATGTGATAACGTTTTATCTAGAAACAATATCAATTACGAGAATTTGTTTCCTTCAATCAAAATTCTCTTCAACGATATAAAAATATAGTATAAGTCGATCAGGCCATCTCTCTCTCTCTTTCTCTCTCTTCTTCCTTTTCTTTTCTCCTTCTTAAAATCTATTTTAGTAAACCCATCTTTCCCCAATTAATTTTCTTTGGGTCTCAAAGCCTCCATGGTTTAATCCTCCTCGACGAAGCAACGGTCCCAGACGGCGAGCAGTGGTGGAGGCGGGGGGAGGGCCGATTTGTCGATCTGAAGTGATGGGCGAAGACTTTGAAAGAAAGTCGTCGGTGGCAGGTCAACTTCTCATTCCATAATCTAAATGGTAGTGAGCTCAAGTCAATCTTTAGAGCTCCTATTCTCTACATTCCACTCTGTTTTCGTCTATTTGGAGTCGGGGAATTTGGAATATCGTATAAGTTATAACCCAAAGCCAAGACCGAGTTGACGAGTTTAGCCCAATTAAGGTGCTTCTTGATAAGATTTGGGTGGGGGCCCAAGCCCAACAAAGGCCCCTAATCTACTATTGTTTAGTAGAAATCCCCAGATCGTAATTTGTAAGTTTGTTACCATCTGAGATCTGACTGGGTTGTTCTTAGGAAGATCAACTTTTGTTGGTGAAGAGAAAGGATGAATTGGACCAACTAAAGACTTTATGGGGTCTACGTCTATTCTATCATCAAAACCCATCTATCTCTTTATCAAATCTGGTATTGGCTTTTGAGTTAGTTTTCTCAATTCATCACTTAAAGCCCTGAATCATAAAAAGGTCTCAAAGCTTTTTTTTTTTTTTTAATTTTTTCTTGGGTACGTAATAAGTAGTTGACATTGTTATGCCTCCAAATTGCAGAGAGTAAGCAAAATGGGTGAATAGGGAAGGTTAGGGAATCCAGCCGTTGGAATTCAGAAGCAATGGTTGTTTAATGGAATGGGTTGACAAGTGGGAATGGAGATGGGATGATGAAAATCAGTTAAATAGGTGACGTGAAGGGTGACGACTGACGATAGTGAAGGAAGTCAGCGACGAGACAACAATGAGTGGTAGGAGGTCAACCTCTCTCTCTCAGATAGAGAGAGATAGTGTGAACAGGCACGACTTTTAATTGGGTGGTTTGGTCAACTGAACCGATTCTGCCTTTTGGGTAGGTCTTAGCGTTGAACCCACGAGCGCCTTTAGTTACAAGGCCCACAGACACATGCTACATAAGTAGTAGATAGTACATACAAAATTAAGATAGATGTATTAATTAGGTCGGTCATTCATCTTCGATCGATTGGCAAATGGCAAGCAGTTAGGAACTCCACTAAAATACTGATGATTTAATGAGAACCCGCCTCCTTGAATAATTTATCCACTCTATATACACGTTTACGTGTTTTTACCAATTCAAAAATAATAATAATAATTGCCACATCTCAAGGAGGGCACGTGGAATTAAGTTGAAAAAAAAAATCTAAAACCAAATCAGCAATTGGGGTGTGGGGGTGGAGCCCTCACGATGGTACGGATCTAATTCAGATTTGTCTTTATTTTGAGATTTAGGGTTTTCCACGAGACAATTCATTGCTGATTTTATGAATTTATGCTTCTCTTTCGCTTGTGAATGTTGAACGACATAAATCTATGTGTCCTCTCTCTTCACTTTTTTTCATCTTTATCCAAATCTGCATTTCTGGGTTTTGCGCAACACATAACCATAGCTTAGTTTTAAAACAGTTGTTGATGACCTGGGTGATTTAACCATTTGATCCAAACAATAGTTTCTAGGTCATTTTGTTATTGTTTTTATTTTATTTTTCTAATTTTTAAAAATATCATGAGCTGACCATTCAAACTGAACGGTTGAACCCTTCAACCCAAAATCCGGTGGCCAAGGCAGTTTCATTTTGAGAAAGATTTTTAAAACCTTGCTACAAACACAGGTGGCATTCCAATTCTCATTTGATCACCCACTCTACCCTGAAAACTTGCGTTCCTCATCCTTTTGAGCTATAATTTGGAATCAAACAATTGCATTTAACATATCCCAAACAAAGTTCCAAGACAATATATCTTTTATTTTATTCCATTCAAAACTTTCTCATGATGATATTGTATAGGATAAATCTATAATGTTAGAAAAATATGATAGATCAAAAACCCCTCGTGAATTTTGATAAATAACATTTGATTGGTTGACACAAAATACAAAATTTGTGAGTTTTAACAACCCACGATTTATTTCAGTGTTGATGAAAATCCTTGTGAATCACAAATATCGTCTTCAGTTTTGGAGAGAATAGTAGAGAGATAAGTGATGAAGAAAACACGTCAGAATTCAGAAAACGTGAAATGCATTAAACGAGCATAGGTAGATAGGTTGCATGATGAATCTACTGTTTGGAAAAACAAATCATTACAAGAAGGAAAAGAAAAAAAGTAAATTACTATGGATATGTATGAGTACCACTTGCCAAAGTTTTCAAAGGATGTATGCTAAACCGGAGGGTGAGATTTATTTCAAGCAGTGTTTTCCAACCGTTGGTTAACCCGGATGGTGGGACCATTCAGCCCGGGAAGCATCTAAGCAATCAGTTACATTTTATTCTTAACCTGATCCTTGGTAAAAAATCATTGACTTGCCCTGCAATTCGCTGATCTTTGGGCGATTGAATCATTGATCCGTTTGATCTGAATAACAGTTGTGGCCTTTTTATTTTAGTTAATTATTTTTTAAATTGGAATGGGCCATCCTTGAACCGAACAATTGAACCACTAACCCAAAAACCGATGGCCAAAGTGATTCCAGTTCCAGATCAATTTTTAAAACCTTGATTTCAAGTTATATTTCCAAAGGTTTAATGGTTATTCTCCTAGCACACAAGGAGCCTTTCAACAGCAGGAATACTTCTTTTATCTCCTAGCCTATTTATATTTGCACAAGTATTAAGTAGAGGTTTAAAGATCATCTTTCAAAAAGGATATGTTCCATTTTATTCTTTTTCAAGGGGCTATAATTTAATCTCCCATAGTTTGTTTGCAGATGATGCAACCATTTCTCTAGTTACATTACAAGAAAAACGGTCTAAGGCTGCCGTGTAAGTAGCTGCCAGCCTAGATTAGTACCGCCGCTTTTGGTGGTCCGTCCGAGGTGGTCCAAACTTCATTAACGCAATGGTCTGTCTGAACCGCCGGCTTAGTGTTATTAAAGGTGGCATTTTGGACATCCCATTCTAAGAACACCAGAACCCTTCATCCAAAAATCTGCAATCTTATTGGTACAAGGGGTATTGTTCATCCAAGACCCATTCGCCTTTAAACAAATCACACCCTTCACCATCCTCTCCTAGGAACCCTGTCTTTTCATCTTGAGCAGTAACATCGAAACCCAACCACCTGAACTTCTTCAACTGTCAACGAATGCGAAGCCCTCTAGTGATACATAAAGCACAAGGCTGTAACAGAGAAAAACTCAGGTGTCCCAAATGATGGCTCATGCAGTTTCAATCGCTTGACCCTCTTCAGAATCTCCCAGCAAGGCACGGTTTCTGGGTCTTGAGCAAGTGGAATCTTAAACATTTGGAAGGGAATGACCGATGAAATGGGCTATTCTTCAAGAAACTTGAAATGGGTTTTCAAAGGGACGACTGTCTTCCCTTATGCAAGCCTAACACAAATGAAACATTTCTCCACCAATGACTCGAAGAGAAATGAAGAAGAAAGATTGTTCAGAATCAATGGCTTCCTCCGTGAAGAGCGACCGAGAAGAAAGATTTTTGGAATCAAAGTTAGATACTCAGATTCCCTCACTTTGGACTTGAACGCAAGGCGTGAAGGAGCAGAACAACGTGGGATTCCCTCTCTTTGGCGTTTTACCAATATGTCTATTGGAATAAAGTAGGGATGGATCGGTTCAAATCCGGTTCAAAGTTACAAACTTTAGAAAGACCTCCGCCCAATACGCGTCTGTAAATGTTTTGGTTTTCTAGGCAACGGCCTTCTCGAAACCGCCACCTTAGTATTCTTTGTACCGGCAGTCTTAAAGACCACCGGCTCTAAACGGCTGCCTTAAACCATTTTTCTTGTAGTTCTAGAAGGAACAAGAAAGGATTGGCAAATCTCATGGAGTTTATTTATTTCATTGTCCATCCTATAACGAGAAGGGAATCCGTCAACATGATCAAACAAGTTGACTGGTTTTATTCAAAAACAACTACTTCCTTTTATTTATCTTGGTGCTCCCATTGGCAATGAAAGCCCTCGCATTAGAAATTTTGAATATTTTGTTGAGAAAAATAGAAGGTTGGAAAGCTAAAATTTGGTGTTAGGCTTCACTAGATTGGTTTGTGTAAGGTGTACAAACCTATACATGAAGGTGGCGTTGGAAATTGGAATAAGGTCCTTGTTTGATGTGATAAAAGTTTTCCATCTCAAGGCTTGGTTTAATCTTATGAAGAAGATATCTTGATGGGCTCAATTTATGATCTCTAAATATGTAAAAGTCATCCTAATCCCACTTCTTTATTCGCCTCAATCTGTCACCAGATTTTGGAAGGTAACACTGGATTTAAAGGTCTTCACTCTCTCAATTCAATGGATGATAGGAAGAAGTGACTTATCTTTTGGGCATCGTAATTAGTTGGGCTTTGACACTCTTATCATCAAGGGGGTGTTCTTTTTTTTTTATTTATTTTGAGAGGAGGAAAGTTGGTCAATGGGATTTTGGTTTCCATTGACCAAGAATCTCATGTTCTTTTTTCAAATTAATTTGGTTTCCAACACTTGAATGTGACAAAAATGCCTAAGATTGATAGTAGGATGCCGAGGACATCAAGTTTAACCGGGTTCCAAATCAAAATGGTTTTTGGAATTTGGTTTTAGCGCACATCCCTAGAAAAATTGAAAGATCAGATTTTGGATTCTCATCTTATGTTAGATAGTTCTAATGATTTTCTCTGGGGACCCAATACAAATGGTCTCTTCTTTGCGGTCTGGGCTTGGGATTTGGTGAGTGATTGAGATCTGATCATTTTCTGGATAAATTTGCATGGGTGCAAGGTCTCCAGTCTAGAATAT